GGGGTAGTGCAGCCTGTTGTGTGCAACCCACTCGACACGGGAAACCACCACTGCTGAAGCGCCGTACCGCCAACACGAAAAGCTCTCAAAGAGACTCGTTCAGTCTTCTTCTCTCAGTAGAGTAGTCAGGAGCAGAACGATGTGATCGTTCGGCTCCGAAGCGAAAAGCTGAATATGCGCTGCATCTGCTGCCTACTTATACTCACGCTGTGATCAGCGGCAGCTGGATGCAATAATCGCATGCCAATGTGCATTGGCTCGTTTAGTTTACACTCAAATTAGATTGGTCTCTCTAAGCGAGATCCCAATTTGTCGGTCATCCAACGTGACGTCGAGAGTGACCGACTGAAAGGGAACTGTTATTTTGTTTCAAAAATAGAACAAACATGACAATATTCTGTTTGAAATGTAGGCTACATTTAAGATGTAAAATGTTCACTTAATATTACCTTTTTTTTGTTGAACTGTTGTAAAAATGAATGGCACATTTGCCATCTTTTGGATATTCAGGGAAATTTGCATTCTTGCTTTTATCTTAAACATGAAACAATAACACACACAGAGTGTGTGTCTGTATCGAAGAGAGTTTAAATCGATCTCAGTCCGTGTCAATATTTGCTCTTCATGCTATTAAGTGAAGATCTACTTTAAAGATATATTGAACAGCAGCGTGATTTGCTAAAGCAGCACATTCAGCTGGCATCCTATCACATGCACGCTGCTTGTGTGGATGCCATCAGTTCTGACCGCAAAAGATGAGGTAAGCTGATTGGATATCATGTATTTGACCGTTTCCGGCACTCCCATTTTCCTGTTTTAACATTAGAAGCAGCCTTTTGCTTGTCAGAAATACATGTTCGGTTTTAATGTCACTTTAAGTTAGGGTACAATTAAATGAATGCCAAAACTCAGAATTTTGTTCACGTACCCCAGTTTGAGAACCACTGTACGACTACAAATATTTTTTATTTTGTGAATACATGCCTACCTTGTTAAATATACTACAAAAGTATGTTTTTGGTATTATTAATACATATTTTCATTTGGTATAAATGAACTGAATTTATTTTCTCTTACCTTGCAGCAGCTCGATCTGAGTTGTGTGTTGTACGTTCATGATATTTTGCCCTTATATATAACACAGCTTTATGTCCAGCCCTTTAATGCTGATTGGTTCGAGAGAATCAGGGGCTTGTCTCTGGTCTCTCACTCTCTCTGGTTATTCGCTCTGATTCGCTGCTGACCATAAACACTAATGTCCAGTTTAACACAAGGTTTCACTTTCACAATCAGTAAGTGCATACTGGAAACCACGTGTCTTCTTTGTGTCATACTCTCACACACAGATTAGCCTGTTGTATATCTGAGCTATGAAACTGAAAACAAAAGCTGAAGAGTAGCAATGCAGAAAAACACAGATGATCAGTTTTAACCTGTGGTGTTTTTTCTGATGAGATTCACTGGAAACTCCCAACAATTTCCTTCCTCCTTTCTGTGTATCAGACACCATGAAAGTAATTCATAAACATATTACGCATGCCTGAGTTAATCAGTAGTGCACGATGCTCACAATGCAAAAGTCTTCATTCAAATAACAAACCTTCCAGCATGTAATGTATGCCCGAGTTATTACTGATTAACTCCTGGTGTCTTCTACATGGACAGAGTTCGGATTGTAAAGTCTATGAAGCGACAGACTGCTGCCGTACTCTGACATGCTAAACTAAATGCAGAAATAAACTGTGTCTGCTCCAGTTCACGATGACAGACACTTTTGATGTGTTTAATGGTTAAAAGAAGCTGAAAGGAGAGTTAAAAGGGATAGTTCACCCAAAAATGAAAATTTGATGTTTATCTGCTTACCCCCAGGGCATCCAAGATGTAGGCGACTTTGTTTCTTCGGTAGAACACATATGATGATTTTTAAGTCCAACTGGAGTCCATCAGTCGTATAATGCATGGCAATGGTAACAAAGTCTATGAGTGTAAAAAAAACATGCACAGACAAATCCAAATTAAACCCTGCGGCTCGTGACGACACATTGATGTCCTAACACACGAAACGATCGGTTTGTGCCAGAAACCGAACAGTATTTATATCATTTTTTACTTCTAATTCACCACTATGTCCAACTGCTTTGGGCGCGCGCACGGCTTCTGGTGCGTGAGGTGTGTACGCGCTCTGGCGTAGTTTACGTTAATGGGTGTGTTGTCGCGGGAGGAGCAAACGACAGGCACAGTTTATTAACGGAAAATAAACAAAGTGTCCAGAAAAAAGGGAATCAAGTGTCCAAAATAAACAGGGGATCTGGTGTCCTCGTCGTGCTGCGGGGTTCGTGCAGGGAAGGGCAGTGGTCAGGAAGGAAGGAAGGGTCCAGGTAAGGGGCGGAGTCCAGCGGCCGCACGCGCTCCCCTCTCCGGTCCAGGGCGCGAGGGGCGGCAGCTTCTATCAGCGGCTTCGTCCTTCTCTCTGCCCACGGCGCTTGAAGGGACTAGACGGCCCGGCATCCTTGCCCGACGGCCGTGTAACGGGTGCGGTTCTCGTC